TCTCTCTCTCTCTCTCTCTCTCTCTCTCTCTCTCTCCCTCTCCTCCTCTTCCTCCCCTATCTCTCTGTCTTCCTTCCCTCCCTCCTCAGCCCCTCTCTCCAGTCTTTTGGACTTAATTCTTTACCCCCACCATTTACTGAGCAGGGAACAAGAAAGAGTTATTTTAAACCTAGTATATATAAAATCCCCCAGTCATTGTATAAAAATGTACCTATTCTGTTCAGAATGGCTTCAGTGTTCTTTTCAACATTTTTTATTGTACTTATTTACGTGAGCACGTCACAGCATCTATGTGGGGGTCAGAGAGCAACTTAAAGGAGTGGTTCTCTCCTTCCAGCACATGATCCTAGGTATCAAACTCAGGTCAGCAGGGTTGTAGCAAGTGCTTTTACCCACTGAGTCATCTCACCAACCCTATCATATGGTGCTTTATGTAAAAGGAAAATAATATTTTAAACTGCATTATATTTGTGTATACTTTCTGGAGAATTTACATGTTTATAAGAATCTCCTTTCTAACCAAGAAGATGATAGGTTTTTTTTTATAGTTTTCATACGCAATGTCCTGTACCTTTCTTACCAAATTCACCTAATAATGCTACATACAGCATCTATTTTCTGAATCAAATGTTCTTCCCATATCACTAAGCGCTATTTCCTGGATTGGCAAGGGCCAGTGTTCTCTGCAGTTTATCTTGATTTTATGCAATGCAACAAAATGTTTTGTTTGATTATGAAAGCCTCACGAGACCTTTCAAAGAAAGGAGGCATATATTCAGAATTGGCAACTTTATCTCCTTATGTTACCTATCCCTTTGTCTCACTTGCGACTAGAAATGCCAGTGTTGTGTGATTTCTGGTTTGGGGTAAAGGTTTAGTTTTTTCGTACATAGAGCATTACTAGTGGGCCTTCCCTGACTGTATGCATTTCCCTTCACACTGATCGATCACCTGTCCTTTGTCAAACTCTCTTTCCCTCATTGATAATGGCTGGTAATCAATATGTAACCAGACTTCTTGGAACTCAATCGCACTTCCTTTTTTTGTTAAAGCCCTCTTCCGGCTTCGGTGTGCAGCAACAATTCCTCTGTCACCATCTCTGATGTGTTCCTCGTGGGTTTGGCATCCACACTGGGAATAAAACAGATCTGCCTTTTCAATTGCTGTTGTTGCTTTCTCAGGCTGCACTGTTATGTTCTGACTTCATGAAATTACCCAAGGACCGCTCCCATTTCCAGCACCTACAATAACTTAAATAATACTAGAATTATCAATTTTAGTAAGTTGGGAATTCAGCACTGAATTCATCTGGCTGCAGGCTTCCTCAACAGCGGATGATTAACCACCTCTCCAGGCTCTTCTATAATAATTGATCTAACTCAGCTTTTTGCTTCTCGTGTGTGTGGTGGTATTATAAATTTTTCATAAGAAAAACTGTTTTCTGCTCTGTGGTTTTTGTCGTACTCCATTGTTTTAGAAGTATTCGATTTCCCAACATCTCTGGATTACTATGTCTTTTTAAGTTTTCTTTTCTTACCTCATTGAACGTTCTTAATTTTTAGTTGGAGTAGGATGACACTATAATTTGTAAAAGTTGTAATATGTTAAGGGTTTCTTTTTGATAGATGTGTAATTTTTATAAATACTTTAAGGAACTCACAAACCTTAGACCAACAGTTGTGGAACCTGCACATTCCACAGCAG